GAAAAATTACCGAAATAGAAAACAAAAAAAAAAGAAAAAAAAAAAAGAACCAATGATACATCCGTTCTCACATCGAACAATGTCAAGCAAAAATGAATGAATGACAGGAGACATTATGTTCTTGAAATGAATGATTGTCACAGTTGGATATCTTCAACTCCCTCCAATAAAAGTCATTTATTATAAACCGGACAAAAGCGCCACTATACTAATGTGAAAGAAAAAGAGGAAATCTTTGATATAATTTTTAAATTATCAAATTCATTAAATAATAGAAGGAAGTAATTTTAAATGTGATATTGAATTAAATGAATTTTATACATTCAAATTTAGTTTATTTTAAATTACTTTTACAATGTCATCTATAAATTTGGCGAATTTGCTTTGTATTAATTTAAATTCAATTAACATAGTTATAAGTATTATAAGCTATAAATATTAAGTATTAAATTACTGGTTCTGTGTATTTCAAAAAGTTATGAATATTGTAAATTATAAATATTGGATTTTCAATTATAATTCATAAGTACTCAATTTTAAGTATAAGTATTCAAAATGTTATAAGTATTATAAGTATTAAGTACTAGTTTTAGACTATAACTATTCAAAAAGTTATCGGTGTTGTAACCTGTAAGTATTAATTATTCGATTACAAGTTATAAATATTCAATTATAAATTATAATCATTCAACAAGTTGTAAGTAATATAAGCATTAAGTATTCAGTTATAATTTATGAGTATTCAAGGAGTTGTAAGCATTATAAGCTACAAGTGTTAAGTATTCAATTATAAGTTATAAATAATTATGAATTATCATTATTCCAAGAGTCGTATTTTAAGTGTCAAGTATTCAATTATAAGTTACAAATATTAAGAATTCCATTATGAGTATTTCAAATGTTTTCAGGTGAGTATTTCTTTTCAGGTGAGCATCATGAATATTTAAAAAGTTTTCAGGTGAGTATTTCTGAATTTGCCGCACTAAATTCCGAAATTTCATTACCACCAGCAGTGGATAATGATTCGCCACCGCTATCAGTAATCAAATATCATATCTTATCTGGAAATGTTAACAATGCATTCAGGTATGTTTAAAACAAAAATTTACTTTTAGCACTTAAAAAAAGTGGAAATTGCAATTAAAGAATAGAATTGTAATTAAAAATAACAGAATTGTAATCAATGGAATTGTAAGAAAAATAGAATATTGTAATTAAAAATAAAATATTGTAATTAAAATAGAATAATTATTGTAATTGTAATTGATGATCAAAAGTAAGAAATGAAAGTGGAATAGTTATGTCAAAGTTGTTTGTAAAATAATAATTAAGTATGAATGGGTAATTGTTCATCAATTTATTCTTGTATTTAATTTCCTCCTTTAATTGTTCATTTAATTATTAGTAATTTTTAATTAAAGATTATCAAGTAAACGAATCAATTCGATGTTATATGCTGATTTAATTGTAAATGGACAATTGGATCGAGAATATCGTAGTCATTATGAACTTTTGATTGAAGCTTTAGATGGTGGCAATCCACCAAAGTATCATTTTGCTAATATATTAAAAAAATTAATTATTAATTATTATCATATATATTATAAAAAGAATGAATAATTTTGGCAAAAAATTATATGTCAATTCCTAAAAGGATATGAAAAATAACTTCGTAGTAATCATCATCCTTTTATGAAAGGTCAATTTTTAGGGTCAATTTGCTAGACCTTATATTACCAAAATAAGAAAGTGAAATAGTCTTAATGAAATAGGTCAAAAGATGGAAGAGAAAAAAGATTAATGAAATAAAATAGATACAAATAACAAAACAATTGGTTATTTGAATTGGTCAAATGACTTTGACCAATTCAAATAATTTTGACCAATGGTAATAGTTATTCAATGATATTTTAGTAGCGGTAAGATGCTTGTTAATGTGACAGTTTTGGATGCAAACGATAATGCACCAGAGTTTAATCAAAATGGATACAGTGCATCTATCCCATGGAATGTTTCAATGGATTACGTAGTTGTAACAGTTCATGCTATAGATCCTGACCTCGGTGAAAATGCTCGAGTAGCTTACTCTATTGCAAAGGTCAGGAAACCCTTTGTTTTTATTTCTTTTTTTCCTCCATATTCTTCTAATTTTTCGTAAATTTATTTCTGAAAATTATTACTTTCGTAAAGTAACAGATTTACGAATAGCTTTAACAGTAAAAATTATTACTTTCATAAAGTAATAATGATGCATTTGTGAAATTTTCACGTTTCGATGTTAAATTTCAATATCATATTTGATAATATTTCAATAAATTAATACAATTTCTAGAATCGTGCTGATTTGAAGCTTCCATTTCAAATTGATGGTAAAAGTGGTATAGTACGAGTAAGTGATCCAGAACTTCTTGTTTCTGGTTCAGTTTATCAACTTTTAATTGTTGCAAGTGATCATGGACTACCTCAACCACTTGAATCAACAACTTTTCTAACTATTACAGTTGAGAAAAGTGATCAACCAAAGCTTCTCTTTGATATCTTTTGGCTTACTGATAGTAATAAACCAGAAGTTTATGAAAATATTACAATAGGATATGTTATTGCTCGGATTACTGTACAAAATGCGCCTCAAAAAAGGTTTCTTTACTGCTTTTCTTTTTTTTTTAAAAAAAAATGTTTTATGAAAATATTTGATTTAAAAAATAATGAATTTTAAAAATGGAACAAAAAAGTATTTAATCTTTTTTTCATTATTATTTTTTCTGAAGTATACTATTTCTTCAATTAGATTCTTAGTAAAGATTAAACAATTCATTGAGAATCTTAGTAAAGATCAAAAATCCACTCACATTCTCAGTAAAGGTCAAAATTATAGAATCTTAGCATTATAGAATTATAGAATCTTAGCAAAGATCAAATATCCATTCAGAATCTTAATGAAGACAAAAAATTCGCTCAGAATCTTAGTGACGGTTAAACATCCATTCAGAATTACAGAATCTTAGTAAAGATCAAGCATTCACCTGGAATTATTAAAGATCAAAATCTATTCGGAATCTTTGTAAAAGTTTAACATTCATCTAGAATCTTATTAAAAACCAAAATCCATTCCGAATTTTGGTAAGGATCAAAGACTTGATTAGAATTATAGAATTTTAATAAGGAACAAACATTCACTTAGAATCATAGCAGCAATCAAACGTGCAAAATCTTAGTG